ATTTAGTCACAGGGGTGATGGGGTAAGGTGTGTCAGAGACAATAAGATTGGCACAGGATAGAGTAGGGTTTAGGGCTATTGTACATAGGGTCACTATTAGTTGCAGTCAACTCAATAGCACATTACAACCAACAACAACAACAATATAACAACATGTCAGACTTGGTCAGGACAGCATAGGGTAGGGCAGGATTCAGATCCATTGTTCATAGAGTCACTATGAGTCATAGTGAACTTGATGGCACTTAACAGTCAATTGGGAGCTGAGCTGTTGGCCAAAGGCCTCTCCCCTCTGGCAGTTTAAATCCACCAGTGGCTTTGTGCAGTTATGATGGGCTGTCTCCTCATGTGCAATTTATAACCCCTGGAGGGTCAGCTGTGAGTCAGCTCCCAATCCATGGCAGTGAGTGAGTGACCACTCAGACAAGGAACAGCAGTTAAGCCCTTAATTGTTAACCATAAGGTTGATAGTTCAAACCTACCAGCCACTCAATGAAAGAGAGATATAGTAGTCTACTTCTGTAACTCTTTACAGCCTTGGAAGCCCTACGGGACAGTTCTGCCCTGTCCTGTAGGATCATTGTGTGTCAGTATCTCCTCCACAGAGCAGTGGGTTTGGGGGTTTTTTTCAGGCTTACCATGCAGATAAAAAATGCATGATAACAGAATCTCAATATGTGGTTCAATTATCATAGCAATTAAAATGCCTTCATTGCCTCAATGTGATCTATCTTTAAAGCCCCTCACAACTCTTTAAACAGAGAAAAGAAATACACCAAATTTATAGCATAATAATATGAAGGCAGAGGGAGAAGAGAAAAACTCTTTGATCATTTCAACTCACATCCGTCAGATGCAGATTTTCCTCTGACATGACATTTTATAAAACTAAAGGTGAGTGTTTTGTCATCCAAATAGTAAGGGCTATCTTTATAAACCTACTTGAAGGTAGTAGGTTCCTAGTTAAGTGTGGCTTCTTGTTGTGGCTGCTATGTGCCGGCAAGTCTTCTGCGACTCATAGCGACCCTATGTACAACAACCCTAAACCCTGCTTTATCCTGTGCAAATTCCACTGTCTCCAACACACTTAACCCCCTTATCCCAGTCTCTAAATAAATCCATCTCATCAAGGATCTTCCTCTCCTGTGCTGTCCCTCCATCCTCCCAACATGACATTCCTCGCCAAGGACTGGTCCCTCCTTGCAACATGTCCAAAATATGCAAGTTTGAGGGGGAACTAAGGAAAATGAAATAAAATCCACAGGAACCAAAATATGACCTTGAGTCTATCCCACCTGAATTTCAAAACCATCTCAGGAACAGATTTGAGGCTTTGAACACCAATGAGTGAAGACCAAATGAGTTGTGGAAGGATAGCAAAAGTATCATCCAGGAAGAGTGCAAACGGTCATTACAAAGGCAGAGGAGGAAGAAAAGACCAAGATGGATGTCAGAAGAGACTCTGTGTATTTTACTAGAGTGCTGAGAAGCCAGAGAAAAGGGGGAAGAGGTCAAGATATTAAGGAACTGAACAGAAGATTTCAAAGGGCAGCACTGGAAGACAAAGTAAAGTATTACAATGAAATGTGCAAAGAGCTGGAGTCAGAAAATCAAAGGCACTGACCTCACTCAGTATTTCTTAAGCTCAAGGAACTTAAGAACAAATTCAAGCCTTGAGTTACAATACTTAAGGTTGCTTTGGACAGAATATTAAATGATCCAGGGAGTTAAATGTGCCTACATAATGATAATGATGACGGTGACAATGAGGGCAATGTTAATTGTGATAATTATGACAAATGCTTTATCAACAGGTCCTCTACAATGCAGGTGGGTTTTTAGCTAAAAATAGAGACACTCTTCCAACTGACATTGTGCTCCTTTTGAGGTCATCAGAAAACAGCATAATACAGCAGCTAGTCAACCATCCTCTGACAAAAACAGGTAAGATAATTTGTTTTAACCAAGAAGCTTTCTCTTACTGTAAGCACTTAATGTCAAAGGTAAATATTCAGTCAGTGCATAGCTGTTTCTACCCCTGGCTAGCATTTTCATCATGCTGTCTACTTGGTCATCTTGGCTGGATATCATGTTCTCAGAAAAACCTCAAAATTAAACAATTCTGTGCTTAGCATTCTTACAGAAAAGCAGTGAGTTAAGGAAGCATTCTCAAATCTTGATCCAATTGACTTAGCTGTTTTGTGACATGAAAATGTCATTATATTGCTGTTATATTGTTATAGTATCATGTCTATTACTTCTACCATCTGTGAAAATCCAATGGATGGAAAAGCAAAATTTTGTAAGAAAACAAGATTTCTCACGGCCTGGTCAATCAAGTCATTTCTATCTCTCTAATTTCTGTGTATATACTCCTCCATTATTTATGCTGTTTTGTCTTCAAATCACTAAATATGTTTTACCAACATCCTTAGCTCCAAATCACCAAAAGAAAAGTGATTCTAAGCTCACATTTCACTAAGGGAGAATGGTTGTAGCCTTCACCAAAAGAATGTGATGGTATCCTAGCTACTACCTAGAAGACTGTGTTTATCTCTGCAACACTCAGCTTCCTTTATTCAGGAACGAGCAGCTAAAAGGAGCTCTGGAGATGTGGCCTATAGAGAGTTGCATGGCTAACTCAAAGGCAGTTAGTTCTTCTCTGGTGATTTGAATCCACCAGTAGCTCTGCTGGAGAAAGAGAACAATCTTCTGTGCAGTTTACAGGCTCTGAAAACCCACTGGAGGGTCAGCTCTGAGTCAGTTCCAGCTCAATAGCAATGCCTTACATTTGTTTGTGACAATATTACTAAAGGCTTTGTTCCAACCCAAACATTTTATTTCCAGTAGTAAAAAAGTCATTTGTGTTGCTTTTCAATTTCAGTATTATTCTTTGTATTTTTATATCTTCCATTATTGGCCTACATAAAATAAAATACACCTATTTAAGGAGTAAAACTAACTGAATTTTGACATAACTTGAATGACAGTAAGACCATTACCATATTTATCATATTCGGTCTACAAAGACATGCAAGCCTATAGACATAACCATCACTCTCAAGTGACTTGACTACAGTAGGCCTAGAGTTACTGTTTTGGTAACTTATAAAGTGTGCAGTCTTTGTTATTGTTGACTACCTTCCAGTCAGAATGTATTCATAACTGACCCTTCAGTGAATTTTTAGAGGCAGTAAATCACATAGGAGGAGATTTTGCCCACCTTTCTTCTATGGAACAGCTGGTAGATTTGAATCCCAATCGACTGGGTTGGTGGCACAAATCCTTACTATTAAGAGAATCACAGTAATGTGATACTGAGACAAAAGGTGAGCAACATGCTGGTAAAATGGCACTAATAGATTTTCTAAATGTCTCAAACCTTTGGCTTCTTTATAAAAAGAACAACACAATAAAATCAAGTACAATAAAGGCAGATATGCTTGTACTGGTGGGGTTTTATGCTATTTGTTCAGTTTGGGTGTTCTAGGGGAGGTTTTGGTCTGTTTCTTCAAGTTAACGAAAATATGTTAGGATATGCTGCCTCCTCTCCATATTTCAAGGTTCATTCCTTTGTGGATGTAACTTCCTAGTAAATCTATCTTTTACTATTTTATCCTAAAAAAAAATTAGGATTAGTAAGTCCTAAGTAATGTGTTATTAATGCACCAAAACGGTGAAGGATAAGTCAAGATTCTAATTTGTTATTCTTAAGATAGCTATGAGTTGGCAGTTGACGTAATGGCATTTAACAACAACACTTTAAATATTCATCGTGCTTCTGTGAGATCCCCAAGTCTGTGACCATTTTCCTTCCCCAAATAAAAATTTTTTCAAAAATTTTTGTAGACTTATGGAGGGGGGAAAAATAAGCAAAACTTCTGAAGCTTCCCGTCTTAGTTTTCCACAGCTAACATAACACAGTACCACAAAGTGGGTGGCATATCAGAATGCAAATTTGTTGTCTCGCAGACTGAATCCAATATGTTGAGAAGGCCATGCTGTATCTAACCTACAGAGAGATCTTTTCCTTGTCTCTCTACCATTTTCCAGTAGTCCCCAGCAGTTGTTGGCTTTCCTTGTCTTGTAGGTACAACTTCATTTTCCTGTCTTCTTGTGTGTCTTTCTCTATTTCATCTATTGTAAGGTCATCTCTCAGATTGGATTAAGACACACACTCCCCCCCCACAACTTCTCCTGTACAACCTCCTGTTAACTAATAGCATCCTGAAAGGCTTTATTTCCACACAAGGATACATCCACTGATACCAGAAGTTAGGACCTCAACATAACTTGGGTCTGAACGTCACTCTTCTATCCTCACTCATCTGTCCAGTAATCTTCCCATTTGAAAAGTACAGTGTGAAGCTTCAACCCACCTTGAAGGTAATCTCACCTCATCAGTACAGTTGTGCAGTTTCAGCCTGTCCTGAAGGTGATCTTACACCATCAGAGAACCTCTCCTGTGATTCAAGGAAAAAAGGCAGACGAAGCAAAAGCACTGCCCAACACATCCAGGCAGGATTCTTCCTGCCCCATCATGTAAGGGACCACCTTTTGAAAACAAAAAAGAATGTGCAGGATTTGCCAAACGTATTTAGCCTTCACATATCACCTAAAAGCCTGAGAGAGCAGTCATTTTCTGAAAGATGCTGCGTACTAGAGTTACTTTGCACACAACTATAAGAAGGATAAACTCTTGGCTTATGTGTTGGTTGATTTATTATACTCGGTGAGGAATGAAAAACAAATGTGACTTGGCATGTGCCAACACTTTATCTCCTATCAGTAAAACTCTGTAGGAAGTATGTTATGCCCACTCTATAGGCTCACACTAAGTGAAGACTGGTGGCCTAGTGGGCAGTGGAGTTGTGCTGCCAACCCAAAGGTAGGAGGTTCAAATTCACCAGTAGTTCTGAGGGAGAAAGATGGGCAGTTTCTCCCATGTCATTTACAGCCTCTAAAAATGAGCTGGGGAGTTAGTCACCTCTGAGTTAGTTCCAACTCAGTAGCACCTTAACAACAGAAATAAAACCATACTGTAGCTAGAATTAAATAAATTACTGAAAGACAACAGAAGGTAGCTCTGTTGGCCTAGTGGCAACAAGCTGCACTGCAATCTCAAAGACATGCAGTTCGAATCCACCAGCTGCTCTGCAGGAGAAGGATAGGCAATCTCTTCCCATGCAATAAACTGCCTCTGAAAACCTCCTAGTTTTCAGAAAACCTGCTATTGATGGTATGCAACAAGGACAACAGTGTCATATACTACTATAGCTAAGATCCAAACCTAGATTTTTCTGGATACCTTTGGTAGTATATGTTTGTATTTATGTATGTGTGCATGTGTATGTGTGTGTGTGTGTGTTTACACACATATATGTGAGTGTATGTATATATAAATATATGTGTGTGTTATATATACATATATGTGTGTCTATATATACATGTGGGGGGGTGTGGGGGTGTGTGTGTATGTGTATTTATAGCAACAGACCCATAATAAACCTTAGCCTGGTTACAGAAAATCTCAGATCACCTTTGCCACAAAAAAAAAGAAGTTGTTCCCCTTCATTATAATTACCTCATATATTCTAGTCATGGAATGGAAATTTAACACTATATAATGCTAATTTCTAAGATATTAAGTGGTGCAAACATTTATCTGCTAACCTAAGACTGGAAGTTGGAGCCCACTGTGCCGCACCATGGACAGACTGGCTTACAGTCTGCTTCGATTGAGGATACAGCCAAGGACACCCTCCAGACCACTTGGTTGTCCACCCTGTAACACGTAGGATGCACCATGAGTAGAAACTGGCTCACTGACAAATTTGATTTGGGTTCTGTTTTTAGTACTTGCTTCTACTTTCCCTTTGCCCAACTGTGATTTAAGCGAAATTAAAAAGTGATTGTAAATGTTCACATAACATTTTATCTCCATGTTTCCCAGCAAGTATTTAACCAAACATCTAAATATTAATGCTGTGGATCAACAGTGTTTATTCTGGTGTTTAAATAAATGAGAAGAATTGGCTAGCCGCTAAGGATTCCAGAAGGCATATTAGTTTATCTACATTCCCACAGGTAATCTGCCACACTCTAAAGGTAAAAATATATTAAACTATCAAATGAGGACTTCGGAAAAATCAATTGACTTGACAAAGGTAAGAAAATGCATTTTTCATGGCAGGGAATCTAAGACTTTTTCTCAGTAGGTATATTTTTGTGCTGCTGAGAGTAAACAGCTTTTTCCTTCATTTTTCTTTCTGCCTTTGATCTGTCTTTTATGCTTAAACAGATAATCACCATGGAATGTTTATATCACCTCTAGTCCCTCAGCTAATCATGCATGTCTGATATATTTAAAGCTCTTCTTTTAAAGCTATTTTTTTTCCAAATTTAACATTAAGAACCACAAAAAAACTATTATCCAGGGTTAGATACAGTATTATCCAGGGTTAGTTATATGTCCATTCCATACAAGACAAATTAAAACTTCAATGAGATTGAGGAGAACAGTTGTCTTAATGTAAGAATACTCAACATTTTTGCTGTTTTATGTATTTGATGAACAGGCTAAGATAACCTAAGGGGAAATGTCCTATACTCCCTGTAAACCACTAAGTTCACTGTTTGCTAAGACATCATGGTCTTCCTTGTTCTTCTTAGAATGAAAATGAAGAAGCCACACGCCATGCCAGAGAGACGACCAACATGAAAGCACAAACTGTTGCATCGTATTTTAGAGTAAGATACTAACTTTTTGTGTTAACTAGGGATATTCTTCTAAATTAGAGTTACAGATTAAAAAAAAAAACCCTGATACCTAATATGTGAGTATCATTAGCAAAAGTGAGTTTTCATTTTATTGAATTTACTGTTATATACAAAATATACTTGAAAGACTGTCTGAAATCCATGGTTTGGTTTCAGTTCAATATTTCAACTATGAAATTATTATATTGTAGGCTAGCCTTGATGGATCTCTACATCATGATTAAAATTTGTCTGTAGAACCAGATGTATTTGCAGTAGACTAGTTTTTAATTTAATATTGTGGTAACTTTCAGTTCTCCTTCCCACTTCTACGTGAGTCTCAAATAGAAGAGGCCTGGGTGAGAATGTCTCTCCATTCTAGATCCTCTTGCACATGATTGTTTCAACTCACAGTGACTCCATATGGGTCAGCATAGAACTGTGTTCTGAAGTGTTTTCAATGACTGTGGAAGGAGACAGCCAGACCTTTCCAAGGTGCCTGCGAGTGGACTTGAACCTCCAGCTCTTCAATAAGTAGCCAAGCATATTAACCATTTGCACCATCTAAGGACCGCAGAGATATGAGCTAAAATAACTCAACTGGAAATTAGAGGGCCATGCTTTTTGTTGGAGCAAAGAAAAGACCCAACTGCCTGCCAAAAAGAGTTATTCTATGCTTAGCTGAGCAAAGAAACAAGGTGTAAGCTTTCCCTCATTTCTCCATAAGAGAAGAAGGAAAACCAAGAAGCCCTTTACTTCTGTGGTGTACTGACAAGCACCTGATAACCTCTCCATTATTATTGACTCCAGTTATTTTTTCTATCTTCTGATGGCATATTAAAAATAAATAAAATATAACCTAAAACATGGTAGTTGTTAATAGTACAGTTTAAATGCAGAGAGGAGCTAGTTAAATTTATTGCATATGTTCAGTAAATAAATCTATTTCATAAGTAACATACTTATGAAATATTTTTTAAAATATGTGGGTCCTTTTATTGACTGTCCTTCATGTCCTAATTTCACAGCGCACACTGTGAGCTTAATCATCTTTGAGTTGCTCTGTGTACATTTGTGTGTCTGATGTCTCAGGCCTGCTGCTGATGCAGTCACGTTACATCAGAAAGTAGCATAGCTGAATCACCAAAAATATTACAGTCAGATGACTTCTTTCTCTCTGAGTCATCTAAGTCTAGGATTGTGCCCCTGTTGCTGAACATCAAACACTCTGTGTATGTTTCAGCAGATTACTTCATAAAACCATTTTAATCCTCAGGCTCTACTCAAAAAAGCAATCGAAATTAATCCTATGCAGCAGGTACTATGTTTTCAAAAGTAATTTGGCTCTTCTACAAAGAGGAGGCAATGTAACACTGTGCCTTTGTCCCTAAGAAAAATCAGTGTTTAAAATGCAGGAGGAGTCTCTGAATGGTGCAAGTGAATGATTAGGAGCCAAAAGATTGACAGTAAAACCTATGCGGGTGTACTCTGGAAGACAGGCCTGGCAATCTGCTTCTTTAAGAAGCCCTGGTAACAATGTAGTTCAGTGTTAGACTGATAACCATAAGGTCACAGGTTCAAAACTATCAGATGCTTTGTGGGAGAAAAATGGAGTAGTCTGCTTACAGCTTTAGTTCTTTAGTTCTATGCACTATTAGTTGGAACCAACTTGATGGCTCTGTGTGTGTGTAGTTGTGTGTTGTGTGTCCATGTTCAAAATACCTTGGACCAATTCTATTCTGCACACTCAAGGAGTGACCATGAGTCATAATGAACTCAACAGCAACTAACGAGGACAAATTGTTATAAGCTCCTCCTAATGTGTATCCAAAACCAAAACCCACAACTATGAGTCTCTTCCAACTCTTTTGTGTTTCTAGTGTTGGAAACCTTGACAGCAGGAGACTGCCTGTCTTTCTTCCTCAGAAGTACTGGTGGATTTGAACCACTGGCCTTTAAGTTCACAACCCAACACATAACACAACATATCACAACCTAAGTATCTGTAGTTCCTGGTTTGTGTTTGTCTAACTAAAGGAATGACGATGACTCACAGATAAATATCATAAAAAACAGCTCCAAAGTGGCAGACCTCACTATTTGTCAGGTCACCAGTTCCATAATGTGGTTGTTACTGTGTTTCTGATTGTAGGATTTGTCTTTAAACATGAAAGGGATAAAAATATCAACTTTATTGTCACCATTATCTTGATAATTCTCATTTTCTGAGACTCCATTTTTAGTTAAATCCTATTTTCGTTGATGTCATACTTACTTGACCAGTAAGTGGCAATTGTTTTAATGAGTTATTGCTGCAAAACAGTTTCATATCTCAGTAATTTAAATTATTCACTAAATAAAAAGGAAAATTATCAAACCATGAAACAGATTGGAATATTTGAATGAATATCACTTTGCTTGCTTTATAGCTATGCCGTACATATTAAAAATACATTAACTTCTTTATCCTTATTTCAGAATAGGAAATGATTCTGCGAGGGATTGAAGCATTTAATTTCATACTTTGTATAAAGAAATAGCTGAACAAAGACATATCATATTCCTAAATATTTTAATTTCAATAAGTTTCCAGATAGGGTATAATTACTTAGCAGATAAACTGTATTATTTTAAATTTATTCCATGAAGTTGCCTTACACACTAACTGGCAGACTTTTAAAATCTAGATTTCTAGTCATTGCCTCAATATTTGTATACCTCTCAGTGGCACATAACAACAACAACAACACCTGTGCTTTTTTATATAAATTGATCATTAGTACTGATTTTCCTTCCATGGTATGTCTTTGGAGACTAAGGTGCGCCTCATACAGGCCATGGTCTTTGCTATCACTTGTTATGTGTCAGAGAGTTGAACAATGACTAAGGAGCCTTTGAGCTGTGGTGCTGGAGAAGAGTATTGAGAATACCATGGACTGCTAGGAAAACAAACAGATTCATCCTGGAAAAGGTTAAGCAAGGTGGCTCCTTGGAGGCAAGGATTCTGAGGCTCTCTCTAATATACTTTGGACATGTTGTGAGGAGAGACAGGTCCTTGGAGAGGGACATCATGCTTGGGAGGGTGGAGGGACAGCGCAGAAAGGGAAGCCCCCCTATGAGGTGGATTGATTCAGTGACTGGGGTAATCAGGATGGGTGTATCGGAGATGGTGCGATTGGCACAGGACAGAGCAGAGTTTAGGGCTGTTGTACATAGGGTTGCTATGAGTCGCAAGCAACTCGACAGCACATAACAACAACAACAGCAACAACTTTGAATTCGTGTGAGCACAAAAAGTTGACTTACCAACTTTTCTTTTTCTTAGTTTAAAAGGGAAACGTGCACATTTTTGGTATACTATATCTGAGGAATTTATTTTTTGTTGCATGCTACAGTATTCTCTGATGGATCTATTATCTAAGATGGTGGTGGGCCAACCTCATTTTGTTCGCTGCATCAAACCAAATAACGATCGTCAGGCAAGAAAATACGACAGAGAGAAGGTTCTGCTCCAGCTTCGCTGTACAGGTATTCTGGAAACAGCAAGAATTCGAAGACAAGGATATTCACATAGGATACTTTTTGCCAGCTTTATAAAGCGGTATGTGTATTTATTTTTCATTTCCATCTCCAGCTTCTAAAAAACCTTCAGAATAGTGCAAGGAGGTAAAAGTAGGAGAGAAAATTACTTAAGTGATTAATTTGGGAGGAGGACCCGTGATGTAGTTCACTATGAGTTACAATATTAAATGAAAGTCTGCACATCTCCATGGTTTTAAACCACCAGCAGCAACTTGGAAAAATCACATATTAATTCCTATCATGTCAAATCCTATGTGATTTAATGTCTCTAAAACCCCCCTGGAGGATCGGCTCTGAGTTTATTCCAGCTCAGTGACGCAAAACAACAATATCAGTTGGAACTGACTCAAAGGCAGTGAGTGAATGATAGAGATGGTTTGATCCTTCCAAATTATTGTTTATTAAAGGCAAAAGTTTACTGTTCACTCGTGCTAGAAGTTACTATCAGCCGCCTGAAGCGCTGATGCATTAGCATCTGCACTCTAATCCAGAGGCCCAAGCATAAGCACTGAGATGCTTGCTGAATGATCTGAGTTTTTCTTCTACTGCTACCATTTGCTCTGTGTCCTTGAAGCTAAACTGAGGTCTCTCAGCTGGGGGAGACATTTCCTCTCAATGGCATACTTGATTGGCATAACGGGAGGTACTGGTATCTGTTAGTAAGCAGAGGTCAGGGCTGACATAGTATAGTCCGTGCACAGAAAAATATCCACAACAAAGAGTTATCCAGCCCAAGATGTCAGTATTGCTGAAGTGAAGAACCCCTGGCCTATGTTGAACCATACTTTCCTTGTGAGGTTTCTCTTCTTTCTTTTCAATAATTCTGCCATGATTACCTGATTCAGAAACACAAACAAATAAAAAACACTCACTGCTATCCAGAAGATTTCAACTCATAATGACCCTATAGAGTAAATAGAGTAGAATGCTTCCATAGGATGTCCAATGGTAGACATCTTTATGGAAATGAACTGTGTCTCTTTCTCTCACAGGGTATTCAGTGAATTTGAACCACTAACCTTTCAGTCAGCAGCCCAATGCTTAATCCTCTTTACTACCAGGGCTTCTTGGCTATTTGTTAGAATTCTTAAAAGTAGCAAGATACAGCCTCTAACGGTGATTGAAAAGACATGTTGTTACATATCATCAAGTTGGCTGCAAATCATAGTAACCTTATGTACAATACATCTGCATACTACTTACCCCTGTTACTGAGTCTAAGATCTTCCTCTCCTGCACTGCCCCTCCACCCTTCCTAGTATTATGTCCTTCTCCAGAGACTAGACCCTCCTAGCCACATGCCCAAAGTATGTGAGACAGAGCTTCAAAATCCTTGTCTCCAAGAAGCAACCTAGTTTCACCCTCTCCAGGAAAAATCTGTTTGTTATCTTAGCAGTCCATAGTATGTTCAATACTCTTGTCTAGCACCTCAACTCAAAGGCATCAATTCTTCTGTCAACACTAGTCGTTCTCCAGCTCTCTGATGCATAGTAAGTAATTACAAAGACCATGGCCTGAATCAGGTGCACCTTAATGTCCGGGCTGGCATCATTGCGCTCTAGCACTTTGGAGCGGTCCTTTTTAACATTTAAAATTAATGAAAAATTATTTAAGCTGCATCCTAAACACATTTTATTAAGTAAAATGCCAGCTGTTGCTATGTGCTGCAGAGTCAGACTTGACTCGTAGGTAAGCCTCTAGTGGGTTTTCAGAGGCTGTAAATCCCATAGGAAAAGATTGTCCATCTTTCTCTTGAGAGCAGCTGGTGGATTCTGACTGCCTACTGTTGGGTTGACAGTGCAACTCCTTAGTCCCAGTGGTGAAAAATAGATTTAGTATCTTGAGGTTGTTTGTTGTGTGTTTTTTTTTAATCTTTTAAGCACTCGTGTATGTATGGGATTTGTCCTTTTTAGAAATCTGTCCATCAATAAATGTAAAGAAGTTTCCATTTTCAAAAGTGAAGCTGCTTGTTGCATGCCAGTGAGTCAAAACTGGCTCATAGCTGACCTTCCAATGAGTTTTCAGAGGCTATAAATCACATTGGAAGAGATTGTTCACTTTTCTTCTACAGAGCAGCTGGCGGATTCAAACCGCTTACCTTTGAAGTGGTAGTACAACTCTTTACCACTAGGCCAAAGTAAACCCAAAGTTTTAGGAAATCTCTATATTTAATGCCCTTAGCCATTTTGCACTGTGTCTAAAGTAGTATAAATGATAATGCATTGGAATACATATGATATGTGATTTCTAACCCCATCATCCTAAAATTGTCTTTTATATCAAGAATTGTTTCCTTTGAAATAGAGAAGATGTTAAAAATATGTTGATAGTTCTAGTTTTTCTGAAATTTTTTAAATCTCTACCTGAGGAAACAAGTGAGTTTCTTCCTTAGATTGGAGTTGACATTTTGATTGGAGTAGAAAGAGGGGTGGGAGCATGGAGGACATGTCTGGCTCATGGGAATTGGTTTTGGGTAATTGATGCTATTGATGGGGACAGTTTATGAAGTTGGTAAAGGTCAGATATGGCTGTCCCCACACAGCCTTTGCTCTTTTTCACACTAGCAATTGTTGATTTGTATTTTTCTTTAGAGATCTGGAAAAAGAAAAGTATTCCTTTAAAAGTCCTTGAAAATTCCACCACTTTGCATAATGGAGACCAAAATTATATATAAATATGGTGGCTTTTACATTAGTAAATTTCTTATGATAGAGTAAGAGAGACTTTAAAAGCTCAAATCTTAGAGTTCAGATTTATATTCAGAATGTAATAATTATTTCAATGCCACTGACTTTATTTTATAACTAAAACTAATAAATGGACAATCTTGGAATTTCTTATTCACCAATAGGCAAATTTTCCATTCTGTGCATAAGACAAGAAACTCAAAGACTTGATATAAAATTAAAGTTAAAATTTTCATCTTATTTATTAAAAAATCTTATTTATCATCTATTTTATTTACATATATTTGTTTGTTTTTTAGGAGAATAGTAAACCTTGAAATTACTTACATAAATAATATGCATTAATGTTAAAAAAACCCAACAAAGCTAATTTCCATTGAGCCAGAATTTACTCACAGTTGACCTTCCAGTAGCTTTACAGAGACTATAAATTCTATGAGAGGAGGTGGGGGGAAAAGGAAATATTTTTCTCACAGAGCAGCTAGTGTACTCAAACTTTCTGCCTTTGGGCTGCCAGCACAACTCTCTACCCACTAGGCCATCAAAGCTCTCTAATGAAAATACCCTTAAATTTCAGTGATTTAAAAAAAAATAAATGCACGCTAGTCAAGGATGCTTTAGGAAGAATATTAAATGATCCAGGAAGTATTAAAACAAGATGGGAAGAATATACTGAGTCAATGTATCGAAAGGAATTGGCAGACACAGAAGAATTTCATGAAACAGCATATGAGCAAGAGCCTATGATGATGAAAGAAGAAGTTCAGGCTGCTTTGAAGTAAATAGCAAAAAATAAGGCTCCAG